ACAATAAAATATATTTTTATAAAATATATTTTTATAAAATATATTGTTGGTCTAGCATTGAGGGAGAGGAAAAGAGGAGAAAGAAGAGACAGAAATAACCTCCATAACTGTTTCCAAAAGCAGTAGGACTATAGAGATTAAGAAAGTTATCCTACTGTCTACATTAAAATATTCCAATTGAAGTGTGTCGGCAATGTAGACAGAAGCCAAATATTGTGTTGTAGGTCTCTTCCCCTCTCAGTGGAAGGGGACGGGAATCCCTGCGCCTGACTTTTTTCTTTTCAGAGAGAAACAGTAGAAATTCTGTTCCCTTACTCCTTCGTGTATCTGTAAGAACAAGGCCCAAGACTAGACAGCGTGAAGAATAAAAATCACCTGTGGCTGGCTGTGGGTTTCCAGATGCTGACATCTGGTAGGACACTTAAGCAGACATATACAGTGTCGGGCGATATTTGGGAAGAACTCAGTGATGGCACAGATGCTATGGAGCAGCGGTAGCCAACCTTTCGGATCTCACGAACCACTGGTTGGCGACCACTGCTCTTTAGGGTATGTTACATGTGGTCCTTTCGGAATGGAGAGGTCAGAGGGAGCAAATTGAAGTGACTTTTCAGCCAGGACTTGAAGAACTGCTACAAGACATTTACGCCATGGGAAGTCCCTAAGAGTTGGTATTAAAAAGTAGTTTACAAAGTTACCTTTTGAGAATTAAACTAATCGTCACTACAAAATAATAGGCCAAATGTCTTGAGGCCCAAAGGAAGGAACACCTACGTTACTGGTACTAGTTACTTAAGTAATCTATCAGTTTGTCTCCCCAAAAATGTACACACTTTGAATAATTATAAGGCCAGTGTTTATTGAAATACATTTCGTTTTCAACATGTAATAGAATCTACAGACATAGTGTGTATGCATTTGGGGAGTGGGGCGGGGGGAGGGAGACACCCTGTAAATAGTTTTAAATAGTTCTCAACAGGAGAAGGGAGGCCAGGTAGGAAATGGTGTGTTGTGTGGGGATCCAGCACTTTCCAGGGAAAGAGAAGACTTCCAGGAACTTGAACTTCTCGGTCCTTAGACGTGTGTCCTCCTCTGTAGGGGGGAGAGTCTTCATTGGGGTAACCTCAGCTGGAGGGAAACGCTCTTTCAGTTACGGAATCTCTCCCCATTGTCCAGAGGGCATACTGACAAGACGATGGCCTCAGGATCAGAACTCGTTCAAATTCCATGCCTAAACTTGCTAGCTGAGTGACACGACACTTGTCTCTGCGTTAGTAATGGGGCTAAAGTGATCAGTCTGCTAAGGAATCGTGAGGATTGAGTAAAAGCATTGGTCTGAAGAGTCCCATTCAGGCCTGGCACGTGACACTCAGCGAAGCTGTGACTATGCTCTGACATCTAACCACACCAAGAAGCCTAATCACTAATTTCTCGATACTGAATCATCTCAAACAGGATGTGCAGATCAGACGCGTAAGCATTCTGGGCAGGAAATCAGATACCCCATCACAAAGCAGGGCTTCCCGGCATGCTCAAACGGTGCTGGTAGCCTTAGTCCGTCACCAGGAGCCTAACCGTTCCTGGCAGGTCGGAAAGCGCTGTTTCTGAGCCCGCCGTGAGGCGGAGGCTGAAGGCCTGTGTGGGTGACCTGCCAGTACCGAATGCCAACCTGGAGAGTCTGGGCAAGTAACGGCCAACTTCATTCAGCGTTCACTGTGGGCCCAGCACCCTGCTCGGTGCTCTGCCTGCCCTGTGGTGTAGCCTCAGAGAGACCCTGCAGGGCAGGTATTGGGATTCTTTTTTTTTTTTTCTTTCTTTTTTTTAAAAAATATATTTTATTGATTTTTCACAGAGAGAAAGGGGAAGGGATAGCTAGCTAGAAACATTGATGAGAGAGAATCATCGACCAGCTGCCTCCTGCACACCCCCTACTGGGGATGTGCCTGCAACCAAGGTACATGCCCTCGACCGGAATTGAACCTGGGACCTGTCAGTCCGCAAACTGAAGCTCTATCCACTGAGCCAAACCAGTTTCGGCTGTAATTCTCCTCTCTTAATGAGCAAATCGGAGCTTGGAGGTGCTGGTAACTTGAGGTCACAGAGTTGTCAATGGCAGAGCCAGATTGGAGCATCAGTCTGTCACTCGCCACTGCTCGCAGCCATCATGCATAAGGGTCAAACCAGGAAGCCCTGGTTTCAGATCCCGTTCCGCTTCTCTCCAGGAACTCAATCTTAAGCAAGATCTTAATCACTCTCTGAACCTCAGCGTCTTCATCTAAACCCCAGAATGAATGCGGTCCATGTAATGGGCGAGTTGGGAGGATTGGAAGGAAGACACGGGAGCACCCAGCACAGTTTCTAACGCCTGGAAGTGACCGGACACAACATGATGGTTACTATTGGGGGCTCTCCAGGCAGGTTTCTACTTCCCACTTCCCCCTTGGCCTGTGACATCCCTGTCAGTTGCTGGTAAAAGTAAAACCTTTGTACTTTTCAACTGCAAATACACATAGAATATGGCTTGCTTATTTAAATTAGAAAAGAATTGAGGCTATTACCAGTGTTAAGGTCTGACATTGGTCCTGCATGCCATATAAATGTCACTATTTTTAATGTGATAAAATGGAAATAACATAAAACATGCCATCTTAGCATTTTTTAAAAATATATTTTATTGATTTTTACAGAGAAGAAGAGAGAGTTAGAAACATTGATGAGAGAATAACATCAATCAGCTACCTCTTACATGCCCCCTACTGGGGACGTGCCCGCAACCAAGGTACAGGCCCTTGACTGGAATCGAACCTGGGACCCTTGAGTCCGCAGGCCGATACTCTATCCACTGAGCCACACCAGTTAGGGATTAACAATTTGTAAGTCGCCGGGACCGGTGTGGCTCAGTGGATAGAGCGTCGGCCTTCGGACTGAAGGGTCCCGGGTTCGATTCCGGTCAAGGTCATGTACCTTGGTTGCGGGCACATCCCCTGTGGGGGGGGTGCAAGAGGCAGCTGGTCGGTGTTTCTTTTTCATCGACGTTTCTAACTCTCTGTCCCTCTCAATTCCTCTGTGTAAAATCAATAAAATATATATATATATATATAAAAAAAAAAAACAATTTGTAAGTCTACAATTCTGGGTCATCTGTTATACACTGTCATGCAGCCATCACCATTCTCTGTCTCCAGGTCTTTCCATCACCCTGAGCAAAGCCTCTGTAACCATTTAACAGTGACTCCTCTGTTTAGAATTTCTTTCCTTTCCACCCTAAGTTATTCTAGTCAAATCAAATCATATTACTGTTTACATGACATACCTATCAGTTGAAGATAAGCAGTATATGTTTTAAAGAAGATGATACCAGCCAGATTTGGATATTTTTATGTTTGCCAAGCAGTACTTTTATGTCTGAATCAAAGTATTCCAATTGGAAAATATGTTGAAAGCTTATGATACAATCAGGGTAGAGTTGATGATCTAGTTTATACTTCCTTTTCATATTTTTATTTTTATTTTTTTATTTTTTTAAAATATATTTTATTGATTTTACACAGAGAGGAATTGAGAGGGACAGAGAGTTAGAAACGTCGATGAGAGAGAAACATCGACCAGTTGCCTCTTGCACACCCTCTACTGGGGATGTGCCCGCAACCAAGATACATGCCCTTGACCGGAATCGAACCCGGGACCTTTCAGTCCGCAGGCCGACACTCTATCCACTGAGCCAAACCGGTCCCGGCCTTTTCATGTTTTTAAAGAATTGTACTTTACATGTCTGAAGGCTAATAAGCGTTTCTGTTTATTGATTAGAACAAGTTCTAATATTGAAGGATGTTGTGTGTGTTTTTTCTGAATTACTGGAATATTATATTTGATTCAAACCCAAATCATATCTGGCGTGAAATAAAACTAAATCTGGTTGATACCATTTCCCTTCAAATATAATATACTTTTGATAAGAGTGGATAAAACATGACTGATCAGGGGCTTGTAATCCATTTTGTAGATCTTCAAAATGTTAGCAGGATCCTTGGAACAGATAATTTAAACTATAATACATAGACTAGTTAATCATGGTGCTCTCTTTTTTATTCTTAATTGTACAAAAGGAGTTTGCTAACTATTGTAAGGTACTTTTCTGCGGCTTATTTTCAGAATGAGAAGGATGGAATGAGAATAGTATAAACATATGCTACCTGAATTTTCCCCCACATGCCTTTTTCAGTGTATTTTAAAATAAATATAAATCTTTTCATTTGCAATATCGCTGGTGTTTGGCCAAGACCAAGACTTCCACACCTAACTTTCACGTGTCCGGTTAAGTGTCCAGTTAAGCATGGGTGGTCGATTTTAACAGACACCTCCTGCAACCAGCAGTTCCTTTTGTTGAGGCAACGGTTACAACATGATGCACATTAGCATGTCCTAGGGCCGTGGTCGGCAAACTGCGGCTCGCGAGCCACATGCGGCTCTTTGGCCCCTTGAGTGTGGCTCTTCCACAAAATACCACAGCCTGAGCGAGTCTATTTTGAAGAAGTGGCTTTAGAAGAAGTTTCAGTTTAAAAAATTTGGCTGTCAAAAGAAATTTCAATCGCTGCCCTGTTGATGTTTGGCTCTGTTGACTAATGAGTTTGCCGACCACTGGCCTAGAGAACTAAAAATACACCACCTCTGGGCTCGGTCCCCAGAGACTCTGCTTTGATAGATTTACGAGAGGCTCTGACTCGCGCGTGGATCTGTAATAAACACCAGCCGGGGCTGAGAACCGCTATGTCCCAAGGAGAGCGGGGCGAGGGGGGCTGGGGTGGGGCTGCGAGGGGGCGGGAATGATCCCAGCCATTTCCTCCTCCTCCCTGTTTCAGGCAGGCAACCCCGGAGCAGAGGAAAGAGGCTCCCTGGTGGATCCAGAACTCAGAAGTTTTTAAAGTAGCTTTTCTCTTTTTGCCATTGCAGACATGGAAGGACTTTGATGGGACGTACATGACTCCACAAACGATGCTCTAATGGATGACGGTGAGCTGCCTGCAGGTCAGCCTCAGATAGAACCTCAAGATGGGGGTCCTCCCGGCGGCGGCGTGGGGAGCCTAGGGTCACACCTGCCTTCTGCATCCGACGAGAATGAGAACCAGCTGGACGGCTGTGGGCAGCACGGCCTGACGGGCAGTGCCGGGGCCATGGGCAGGCCTGCAGAGGCCGAGCAGGACAGTCTCAACAACAATGCAGGCTGCACGCCACCCTGGGAGGCGGCCGAGGGGGAGGCCTCGGAGCACGCCGCCTGGGGAGGCCCCGGAGGTGGACAGGACCTCTCGGGGAAGGACACAACAGCCCCTGGAAATGGAAGCTCAAGAACCACGGGCCCGGCGAGGACAACGCCACCAGGTATTTTCTTTAATTCCTGTTCATGCTCCTCCTGGGAAATGCACCTTCTTCCCGTCCCACCCTGTGCATGGGCCCTGCATCTCCCTTTTCATCTCTCAGTACAGTCCGGAGCTAGGTCCAGGCGCACACACAGTTCCAGCTGTGTGGTATGTGGGCCTGTGCTGTGTCTCCGCAGCGTCCCAATGTGTGCGTGCACCATCATTTATTTCACCCTTTCTTTCTTTTTTTAAATATATTTTATTGATTTTTTACAGAGAGGAAGGGAGAGGGATAGAGAGTTAGAAACATGATGAGAGAGAATCATCGATCAGCTGCCTCTTGCACACCCCCTACTGGGGATGTGCCCACAACCAAGGTACATGCCCTTGACCGGAAACGAACCTGGGACCCTTCAGTCCACAGGCCAATGCTCTATCCACTGAGCCAAACCTGTTTCGGCCATACTTATTTTATAAGGTAACTTGATAACTTTTTAATGCAGCTCATCATTTGACTTTCCAGTTCATTGATCCCTCTGTCTTTGCTTTCCTTAGTAGACTTAAAACAAAATAAAATAATTTTGACAAGCAGTAGGAAAACATTTTCTTAAAAGACCCACATTAGTTATGCTATATGCAGTACTATTTATGTATAAATTGATTTATTCTTCATAATTCAAGGGCAGCTTGACCATGCCTCTCTAATCCAATCTGGGGATGTTTTAAGAACTGAGATCAAGTTTCATGATTATGGCTCCTTTTACGGTATTCCTCCCTCCCCTGGCCTTCCCCCAGTTTTCCTGGGTAAAATTGTATAATTTAAAGTTGTTTAGTACTTACTGCCAGTGAGAAGATATGTGTGGAATTACTACCCCCTAATGCACTTGAAATAATGTGTTTATAAAACCTGGGTATAGTCTTTATACAGATTATTTTAAGCCTGTTTTTTGTTTTTGTTTTTTTTGTATCTAATATAAATGAGAGTAAGTAAGAGTGTAAGAAACCGAATTAAGAGTTGTAAAACCTAAGTTCAAATCTTGCTTCTGGTTCTGGGTCACTTGGTGAGACTTAGTTATTCTGCACTTCAGTTTTCTCATTTGTGTGATGATGATGCTCATTTACGTGTATCTACAAAGTGCCTTTCTGAGCAGTGAGTGGGTTTCTGAATAGAAATGGTGTGTCTACACTCGGTTCAAGTTTGGTGACTTACCTCTGGCATATTTAATTTTTACACGTAGAGAGTACATTTTCGTTTGTACTTTGTTTTGCTAAAAGAAGGTGAGCAGAAGAATTTTGAACTGAATGAAAAGATATTCCTGAGGGTAGAATTACCCCTTTCTGACCCAGAAGAGGTCTGAGATGGGACGCGTTAGGATTACCTGGGTACTTTCTTGTTTACCCCGAGATCCTTGAAGCCCATCCTCTCAGTCCGTGTCCAGTCAGTCTCTGTGAGTGTTTGTCCCTATGACCCTCCGGTAGCCTGTTCCTCCCCGTCTCCACCACACAGTCCCGGTCCCACCCGCAGCTTTAGCTGCAGCCCTGCCTGTGACCTTGCTTCTTGGTTCTCCCACCTTGTTCTCCATAAGCCGCTCTGTGGCAGAGCTAACACTGCAGACATTCATGCTGGGTGTGGGCTGTGCACTCCCCTCCTCACTAGGAAGTTTTGTTGTTGTTTTTTGTTTATTTGTTTTTGTTTTAAATATATTTTTATTGATTTTTTACAGAGAGGAAGGGAGAGAGACAGAGAGCTAGAAACACCGATGAGAGAGAAACATCGACCAGCTGCCTCCTGCACACCCCCTACCGGGCATGTGCCCGCAACCAAGGTACATGCCCTTGACCGGAATCGAACCTGGGACCTTTCAGTCCACAGACCAACACTCTATCCACTAAGCCAAACGGTTTCGTTTTAACATCCCAAACAAGTGCAGTTTCAGAATCTGACAGATGAGTATTTTCCTAATAACAGAATAGTTTCTAAGATGTAAGACGATATCTAAAACATGACTTTCAATTCCAAGCCAGGAATAAGCTTCTCGTCGGCCAGAGCTCAAGCGCTTTTATAGAAACATATGTTCAGGTAAATCCACTCCTCCGCTCCCTCAGCTAGCTTAATTGATCAAACTTTTTTATGTACCGTACCTCAAAGCTAGTACCATTAAAAAAAAATAGAGCAGTAGTATTACGATACATGACTATTTATCGGTTTCTTGGAAGCAACATTTCCATAAACCTGCTAAAACCTTGAACTGGGCCTCATCTAAGTCCAGTTGTCATTATGGCTTGGGCTTATTTTTTCCTTAAGAGACTTTAATTCTTTTTTAAAAAAATATATATTTTATTGATTTTTTTTTTTTACAGAGAGGAAGAGAGAGGGATAGAGAGTTAGAAATATCGATGAAAGAGAAACATCGATGTGCCCGCAACCAAGGTACATGCCCTTGACTGGAATCGAACCTGGCATCTTTCAGTCCACAGGCTGATGCTCTATCCACTGAGCCAAACCGGTTTCGGCGACTTTAATCCCCTTGATTAGTCTACTAAGCCGGGGTACAGGCTGCGTGACAAGTTTTCACTGGCATCGTTTTAGTAAATAATACTCCAACAACTAATGGAAATGAGCTTATAAATATTTAATAGCCTCATGGAGATACAATTCCCACTTAAAACGCACACGTCAATGACGTTTAGCATATTCAATAGCTGTGCAGCCGTTACCACAGTCAGTTGTAGAACATTCTCATTGCCCACAGAAACCCCGTGCCTATCAGAGCTGCTCTCTCGTTTCCCCCTTCGCCGTCCCAGCTCTAGGCCCCCACTCGCCCACTTTCCTTCTCTGTAGACTTGCCTGCTCTGGACATTCCACATAAATGGAACCGCACAATGGACGGTCCTCTGTGGCTGGCTTCTTTCACTTGGCGCAGTACTTTCGGGATTCATGCATGTTGTAGCATGTATCAGAACTGTTCCTCCTGAGGTCAAATAGTACTCCATGGCATGGGCATCTCCCCTTTCCTGTACCTGTTTGTCAGCTGCTGGGGATTCCGGCTGCATCTACTTTTTAGCTGTTATGAATGACGCTCCTGTGGCCATTTGCATACAGGCTTTTGTGTGGACATGTGTGTTCCTTTGGAGGGGTTTTATGTGCATAGGAATGGAATTACTGGATCTTAAAGTAACTGTTTAACCTTTTTGAGGATCTGTCAAACTATTTCCTCTCTCGCCAGCACTATATGAGGGTTATAGTTCCTCCACATTTCTCCAGGACTTGGTAATATCTGACTCTTTTTATTACAGCCAGAGTTGTTTTTTACTTAGATGTAATTCACATGCCATAACGTCACCTTTTTTATAAAGCGGTTTCAGTACATTCACAGAGTTGTACAACCACCTAATTCTAGAACATGTTATTCTCCCCAGAAAAGAAACTCCCCGTTTTCCCCTGTCAACAACTGGGGCATAAATTCTGAATAGTTGTGACATACAAGTTTAGATTAAGTTTCTGATGGTTTCCATAACAACGTCGGTTATTTACTCAGTCGGTCACCATAGTTTCTAAACATTTGACAAAACAGCTCAGCACCTGGCAGGAAGCCAGAGTAGGCAGCAGATGCACAGGGAGAAAGACCTTGCAGAGGGACTTGGCTGGTTCCACTGGAGGCCTTCCCAGCGTGGCCGCTGGGGGGTGACAGAGAGGCCCGGGAATGGTCTGTGTCCTGCAGTCCGGCTGTGTCGTGAGAACAAAGACTTTGTTGGCTCTGCCTGTTCCTATGTGTACCTCCATTCACCGAGGCTCCCTCCTTACCTGTGGCAGGGCTGGGCCTTCCTGTCTTGTCCTTACAGTGAGCAGTCCTGAATGGGAAGCACCTGTAAAGTCCCCAGCGCGAAGCAGGTGCTTCTAACTGGCAACTGCCTTTGTCTGTGTCACCCCGTGAGTTTTAAGTGCCATGAATAAGAGCGGCATTCAGCAACATTCAGACATTGATTTAATTTGACTCTAAATCCATCTCACCTCCTTTGTCTTTGTGTTTCTTCAAGGATCTTAGTAACACTCTCTTTCTAGATTCACCTGTCCCTGCCGCTCTGTCCCCTGGTGTGTATTCCTGAAAACATATGTTCGGTGCCTTCCTCATCATGCCTACTGGCATGTTAGCTGGCATGGATCCTCAAGGCACGTTTGCATTTTACATATCTGGCTTTGACCACAGAACCTTTCATCTGGCCTTCAATATGTGCCTTTATGTGTGTTAGAGAAACAAATTTTTATATTTTCAGACTTCCAAGAAGATCATATAATTTATATAAAGCCGCATAAAATTTGAGAATTTTATTTATTTATCCTGGAGAACCAAGGAATATTTTTTCATGTGATACCTGATGAATTCGGTGTGCTTGGAATGAATTGGGGGGGGGGGGGCGGAATGTAGCCATTTCGCTATTAGCAAAGCTGTTTGTGAACATCTAATGGGATGTTCATTTGAAACTTTGATATTTGAGTATCATAGACCTGGATAAGGAGTTTAAAAATTAGCAGAATTAATTGCATGCTTAGGGAAATCCCTTGCATATTTTTAAAATTTAATAAAACATAATAAAGTGTAAAATGTCTATCAAACTCTTAAGAAGAAACTTAGGGAATGCAAGCATTGGTCCTACTTGGCATCTATACTAATAATTGGGTAATATGCAAATTGGTGGGGACGCTGCCACAGTAACGACTATCAACAGGCTGCGTGCTCAGCAGGCGCAGGTGGGCAGGGACTTGCAGCATCGGGGGCAGGGGCAGAGCCTTGGCTGAGAGGCCTCTCTGTGCACCTTTGCTGGGAGTCTACAGGCATTCCCCAACTTCGCCACGGCTGGCCTTGGGGTCTGCAGGCCTTCCCCAACTTCGGCCAATTTCTTTGGGGCAATCTATCTAGGAGCCCCGGATGGGTGGGCTGGGCCTACTTCTTTGGGGCAGTAAATCTTGGGGCTCCCGCACAGGGTGCAGGCCAGGCTGGGGGACACCCCTCTCCCCACCCG